CTAAAGGTGATACATAAAACCATAAAGGAAGAAAATGTGGGAGACTATCTTTGTGATTTTGGAATGAGAAAGGACTTCTAAAATTTAAATAAGACGACCCATAGTACAAAACACATGACAAAAGCTAGATTTGACTGTGTCAAAGTTCAGGATTGCTATTCAACAAAGTATACCGTAGAAAAGTTAAGAGAGAGTTGAACAAATGAGAGAATTTGCGGCACATCAAACTGATGAGGGAGACTAAAAAGGAAAAGGTAGTCAGCCCAACAGGAAACATAGAGAAGTGTAAAGGTGGACAGATATAAGCAATAAGACCTAGGTTTATATTGTCAGATTGGCTGAAAATGAATAAATAAATAATAGCTAGTACAGGAAAGGATGTGGAGAAATGAAAAAACTCAGCCGCTACTGGGGGCCGTCTAAAGTGGTATAGTTGTCCTGGAGAACCATACAAAAATAGTGCAATTAAACATGTCAACATCCTATAGCCCAGCATTCCCACCGATCAGAGCAGAGGAACCCTCCAACAGGGCTTTAAGGAGACGGGTAAGAGGATGTCCATCACAGCACTGTTGGATGTGGCAGGGAGTTGGAGGTAACATGAAGGGAATGGAAAAGGAAATGGAATTCCAAGCAGTCATTGGAAGCAATTAACTAGAGGCACATGCAGCCCTGAGTCGCCATGGAAAGAGGGGCCCTTTAACTGAGATGCCATGTGGAGAGAAATCACAGGAGAAGCACCTGGGCCGTCTGATTGTCTGAGACATACAAGTGCGACCAGAAAAGGCACTGCCCACAGACTGCCTGGCTGAGCCCTAGCCATCCCACGAAACAGTGAGGTGCCATAGAATGGTTGTTTGAGACCACTAAATTTGGGGGTGTTCTGTTAGGTGACAATGGATGAGGTCATTGTAAGGATTAAAGGAGGTAGTTTTCAAAGTGCTGAATAGCGCATGGCTCGTGGGAAGGGCTTGGCTCTATGTACACATTTGTGGAATAAAATAGAACAGGGACCTATAGAGGCTGACGGTGACAGAAACTGTGTCCTGGGCTAAAGTATAGGAGTAACTCAATTCTCCGCACCTGGTGCCCACAAATAATATAAAATAAAACCTACGATAGGTCCATCTATTCATTTCCTTGATAGGGTAACTGTGGCCCAGGAGGTGAAAAGTGTATCCAAAAAAAAGTTTTTCAAAACGACGCAGGCCTCCCTGAGCCCATCTCTTCTGCTGTCTTTGTGCCCGGAATTCAGAGCCTCCAAGAAGGCACTAGATATATGAGCTCAGTGACTCACGAGTCCCTCATTTCTGGGAACACAGACAACTGATGGACTATATTTGTTTTCCTCTGCAGTGCTAGAGCCAGAACGAGCACATTTTTTATCCGTGATGAATTCTCAAGTAGCCATAGGCTCCAGTATAAGGAAATGCAAGGGTAAATGAAATCCACGCATAATTCAAAGATCTCAATCAAGTCAGCCATTTCAACCTCCAGAAGGATCTCTTACAATTCTTTTTACTCCCAAACACAGTGTGCTCAATAAATATGTGTTGATTATTTAAAATTAATCCCTCTTCTTTTTGAAAAGGATTTAAAGCCATTTATGGTCCTTCAAATCATTGATCAAAGTTGTTTGTCAAAACCCAGGCGATCGCCTGGACGGTAGCAACAGCAAGTGGAAGGAAGGGGTGGGAAGGGTGCTGATGTTCATGCGTGAACTGCTTACTGGGCACCTTACAAACCTTACAGGGACTGTCTGAGGTAGGTATCGTCCCCATTTTACAGAGGCAGAAACTGAGGCTTACATAGGTGGGATACCGCCACTGGGACACTGCAGAGCCCGATTCTAACTCAGGTAGCCTGAATCACAGCTGGTCCTCTCCCACTCTGTCCCACTGGGAAGCAAAGATCCAGACTCACCCCAGAGCAACTCAACAGCAAGGGGAAGGCAGTATGTCCCAAAGCCAACTCCAAGACACCAAGACTTTTGTAAAGTCAGAAAAGGTGGACTGTGGAACCTAATAGTATATTTCTGCAGAACTGACACATTTTGGAGAGGGTCTGCAGTTCCCTGGGCGTCACTATTTAGAGCCGATTTCTCATGACTGTAGCCTCCGTGGCAAGAAGCCTCCAGCTGGCAGCCTGCAAGATCCTGCGTGTGCGTGGCTGGGAGGGATGGCGTCCAACCAGGTCCATCCTGGTCCCAACCTCTCCACCTAAAATAATCCCGAACCCCGTCCCCACCCACTGACCCACTTCCCATCCCACTTAAGCCTGCAGAATCACAACCTGTAATTCTGATCCAGCACGAGGGCTTTCTGGCTGGTCTGCAGGGAGCTTCTGGGAAGACATTGGATGAAAGCGGAGAGGAAGCATGTGCCGCCGATTCCCTTCCCCAGGTTGCTTCCTCCTCTGGGTCTTTCGGCCTGAGGACACCCCCTGGGAGGGCAGGTTGAGGACAGAGGTTTTGTGCGCACCAGGCCTCTCTGTAAGCTGCGTGAAGCTTCGGGGCGAGGCAGACCCGGGCCGGGCCCAGGCCAGTGCCAAGAGGGGAATGAGAGGCCCCCGGGGTAGGAAGCCTCCAGCTGGATGGGGCCCCAGTGCAGGTAGCTAGGCTGCTGGTTCACTTCCATTTTCTCCTTTGGCTTCTCCATGTCCTCAGATGGGTGACTTTCACTGAAAATAAAATGACTGTGGCTACAGCCCAGCCGCACGCAAGTGGCCACCCTGGGTGCTCGGAGCACAGGGAGGGAGACCTGGACACGAAAGACAAATACACGCAACTTCCAAGTCATGCCATTTATTTTTCCTAATTGGGTTTCACAGCCCGTCTGAGCTTCTGCTCAGTTCTCTGAGGAGCCGGAGAATTCGTGTGAATGCTCTGTGTCCCTGTCCTTCCCCAGAAGAGAAACAGGCAGGCACGTGAGTACACACAGGGGCCAGTGAGAGTGCCCTGCACTTGATTCTGTTGTTACTTTCCTCTCTGACTTCACTGTGACACACGTTTGTCTCCATCTAATATTCTCAAGAAAAATGGTCCGGACAGGATACGGCGAGGGACGCGGGGAGAGGACTGTGTAAAGGGGTCGGTGGAGGGAAGCAGTGAACCAGTAGGATCATTTACCTGCCCCTCCTCGTTCCTTTTCCTGTTTCATTCTGGATCTTTCAAAAAGAAAGAAGCAGAGAGAGCGAGAGAGAACAAGGCTAGCAGGACCACTGGTAACTCGTGCAGCACCCCGGTTAGCAAATGCACCCACCTTCGGACAGGTTCTGCGTGGCTTGTTGACATACACAGAGCCTGGACCGAAGCTCCCGCTGCCTCTGTCCTCTTGGCTGGTGTCTTGTGCTTATGCTGCAGTTCCTGGACTATTCCACCTTGAATGACCTCAGGGTTAAAGGGCCAAGAGGGGATGAAGTGTCTTGCAAGAGCTTTCAGAATCCCAGATGGGCCCTGGTGCTGTGGAGATCAGAGTCTCTCACTGGGCCGGGAGGCATTGATGCCTCCCTTGGCTGCCAGGGTGTCCTGCCCACAACCCCACTTGCAACCCACTCCTTGCATGTGGACTCTGCTTAATTTCCCGGGGTGGGAGTGTGCACTGCGGGGAGAGAGGCATGGCCCAGGCACAGTACTACCGTGCCAACCTTCCCAGCCCGGAAGCCCCAGCGAGCTGCCGGAGAGGGACCTGCCTGCTTTTGATATTTTGCTTCATTACATCTCATCTCATGAACCAAGACAACAGGAATTTTCTGCAGCCAACCTCAGGAGGAAATGATCCCGGGAAGCTACTGCTTCCTTCATTCATGGAAACAACAGGGAGGAGAAAGGGCAGGGTTCTCTCATGAATGTTTGCACCACTCCGTTGAGAGGCTGGTTGACCAGACAGCTCAGGGACCAAGGCTGGGTGGACATCGTTTGTCAACTATATTACAGGGCTGCAATTCACACGCTACCAAGCTGGACTCTTGGCTCTGGAAATTTAACGTGTGACAGCTGCGTGCAGCCAGTGGTGTCCAGCATTTTAGAAAGGTCAATTAAGAAACGGTTGATGGTGGTGCAGCTAATGACAGCCCAGAGGGGTGAGCAGGGCTGAATAAACAGAAGGGCTGAGACATATATTACTGGAATTGAAGTGTCGAAGTGAAGCGTGGTGGGGGGAAACCTATTGTCACAGGCCATAAAGCACATCTGAGTTTTGCAGCGGAGAGCAGTACAGCTGTTTCTTTCCCCAGGCAGCGCGGGGAGCAGTCTGTGAACGGAGGGCTCGCCAGACAAAGGCGACACCTGCATCAGCTTGATCAATCTGCAGACAAAAATCGTTACCCTCCTCACTGTCTGTTCCTTTGCACTTCCTGGAGCACGAGGCAGACGCTGGAGTGATAGTTGCAATGTGGGTCATGTTCTAGAAATCCATATTTTAAGCATTCCCCAAAGCTGGGCTCCGTCTTCTCTTCAGGGCTGTGGGTAGGTGGGCGGACAGGAGCCTGAGTGCCAATCTGAGCGAGTGCTCTCCTCAGGCAGCATGTCTGCCCCCTGGCTTCGGTGGACACACAAAGGCAGGGAGCAGTCTAGACCCTTTACACTGCGATGGATAAAAGAGGGACATGGAGCCTTTAGAAAAAGCCTATTTCAGCCTGTGACAGAATTGGCTCATGGTTGGGGGAAGGTACTGCGTGGGGCCTTTTTCTCTGTTATTTTGGAAAATCAGACAAAGGGGTCTTAGACTGCTTGGACAGGCTTTTTTGGCCACGACTACCTGTCAAGCCGGAAATTCCGCAGAGCAATGGGAATGCTAATTGATATGCAAAACAGGTCCAGGGTTCCTAGAAATGTCTAATGATCCTCCAGTTCAATGCGAAGAAGGATTAAGACATGCGCTAAATGAAATGGGAATAGGAACACCAACCTTTTTGCTTTTGCTTTTTTTTTTCCTTTTTCAAATCTACTTTGGGAAACTTCACAGGTTTTGTGATTTAAAAAAATAGTATTGCAATCAGTGGGGGTTTGTCTTTCACACATTGGATATTTATTATTAGAAAATAGCTTCTATCAGCTGTCATTACCAAACAAGTTGAAAGGAGCGTGCTTCTCACCATAAATTGTTTTTCTCCTTAATGAAATTTAAGTAAACAGTTCACTGTGGGGAGAGTTGCCACGCTCGTTTTTCCTTTAAAAACTGAATAATTAAATGAAGTTGAGTACAAAACATCCTTCAAATATGACTTGTCCTGCAGCTGCTACGCTGTCCCCTTGAGTAATAGGCATGGAAGAGATGGAAAAGACACTCAAGCTATCAAATTACCCCAAAGAATCTACAGTAGAAACTGGGAAACAAACCAACGAACCCAAACAAAACCCATCCAAACCAACCATGAAATCAGTTTTAACATTGGCTTTTCAACTTTGATTATCATCTAAGTTTAATATATATATATATCTATATATATATATTTGAAATAGTAATAAAAAAGGAAGAGTTGAATTGCATCCTTAGCAGGACAACCTTCCTCATATGTTAAAGAGGTGTTCAGAAAATTCCATACAGTATCTGCTAAATAAACATGTTTGGCAGCTTAGCAAATATCATATGATTGCAGCATCCATGATTTGAAGTCAAAGAGCGATTTGCTTTCTTCAGGCGGAGTCTGTTGCTCAGGGCGACATGATAACATGGCTCTGGATGTTCTTCGACCCACGGGCTCGAGGAAGGGTTTCGGGGTGGCCCAGTGCAGAAACTTCCAAACCCCAAACAACAAATCAACCAACCAAACACACAAACATCAAACAATCGTCTCCTTTGAGTTCCTCTTGACAGAGTGGAGGCCCAGCAAGGACTTCTGGTTAGAAGGGACGTTGACAGACTTTGGAATGAGGAGAATCACCCTCTGATTGGTCCGACGCCATTCATTGTACAATCGACAGTGGTACCTAAATGACACCTGGGGTCAAGAGAGGAAAAATAAGGGAAGGTTTCAGGTAAGCGGAAGCTGATTATCAATCCAAACAACATACACGCCATTTAAAACAGCTCCAAACAGCAGTACAGCGGGGCAAGAGCCAGGGGGAACTGCTGTAGCAGGCAGCTGAGCGCTGGGAGACTGGCCCCAGCCACAGAGCACCCACGTGTGAACAAGGGGCAGGTCTCTCTCGTGCCTCTTCAAACTGGGTAAAATCGGAGTATTAATAGGAAATGACGTTCCTCCCGAGTTTGGATTTATTTTCAGGATAGTGCTCTGGGCCCCAAAGTATCAGTGGGGAAGAAAGTTGGCTGGGGGCAGTGGGCAGAGTAGGTACGGCGCCAGCCCTTGCCCAGCTATGGGACTAGGCAATGTGCCTTTCTGGTCGTCAAGTTTCTCTCTGTTAAATGAGAGGGATGCTGGGGCTTCACGCACCCTTCTGTAGGTTGGACACTGCACAACTTGAAGGACCCCATTCATGGTATGATAGGAAGGGCACCCTTTGTACTGTGCTGTGGACAAACTGAACAACTGTACTTGGAGGCCCCTGTGGGTGATCCCCATTGCCTCCAGCTCAGTCCTTCCATGGCGTCCAGTGGGGAAGCTTTGGCCTGGGCACCAACTCCACTGATGAGTTCTTCCTGAGCTAGTGCCTGTGCCCACCTCAGCGTGGCATCAGTGCCGTGTACACCACGGCACTTGTTTCTCTCTCACCCTGCACTAGAAGCATGTTGGGGGCAGGTCTTGTGTTGTATTCATCTTTGCATGCTGTGTACCTATCACAGTGTCTGGCGCTTAGGAAACTGCTTAGTTAAGTTCACTGAGTGAATGGATGAGTGACTAAGTATCCTGTACCTTCTAATTGCAACACTGCTTTAGATTTAGGCCTCTCTTACATGATACAGGACAGCACGAGCAGTAAACGAATCATCAGTTGTGACATAACTTGCCCCCAAAGTGCTTGCTTCTTGTGTAAGTATACTGGAATGAGATGCTTACATCTGTGGTTTGCTTTGGAGAAGGCTGGCACAAAGCACTGATGAACCGCCCAGGAAATTCAAATAATCTGTTCTTCTGAAGATGTACAAACTGCCTTTAAAAGTGGAAGTAGGTTCTAGTTTGAGTATATCCAGATAACTAGGTAAGTGCTGGGGAGGAAGGTATCCATGACCTGAGAGTGACAAATTATCCAGGTATGGGCTGTTTAACCACCTGGGTTGTGTGGGTCATGTTGACCCTGGTACAGGGCCTACGTTGGTCAAAGAGTGGGCTGACCCTGTGGTTTGGGCTCAGTGTTTCTGGAAGTAGAGGAGAATGCAGGCCCTTGATCAGCAAGGGCTTGTTTGACTTCATGGCAGGATCATGAAATCCAAGGCCACTCAGATTTCTGAGGCTAGAAAGCAGATGCCACAGGCTGAATGCCAGAGAGATTTGAGTATGAAAAGAAAAGCTTTTAAACTCACACAGAGTTTTTCTCCAAGAGGCTCTGAGCATGCCAAAGTGGATCAGAGGTTTTTTTTTTTTTTTTTTTTTAAGCTTGATTCTCTTTTATCTGTTCTGTTCTGTCCTGCTGCTGCTTGGTGCTACTCATGAATGTAAGAGGCAGGCTGGAAAGCATGCTGTTCCGGGCCAAGGGCAGGGAAGGTGTAGGAAACAGACAAGTACTAATGAAGAGCGGAGGCAGTACAAGAAGTCTAGAATCTGGAAATATTACAGGAAAGCTGGATTTGAAATCAAGAGTCTGGGATGTTAAAGAGCTGCGCATGCTTGGCGTCTTCAGTAAGCAGCAGAAGCAGCTGCAGCTGTGCGCAGGAGGGAGCAGCCTGAGGGCTCCGGGCGGGCACACCGGGCTGAAGCCCCATCCTCTACTGATGTCTCCGTGCCTTTGGGAGGGTTGTTTGCTGCCTCCAAGTCCCGGTATCCTCGTTTGTAAACTGTGAGTAATGATATCAGAGATAATGCATAAAGAGCACTTAGCACAGTGCCACTGCCACACGTTAGCGTTCTTGGCCTGTTATTTCTGAGGGGTTAAATCTGGAAAAGAAGATAACTTTGTGACACTCCTTCTTGGATACAGGAAACTGGGGGCAAAACGAAAAAGAGAGGCTGGGCTATTTCCTTGAAAGCCCTGCTCTCAGTGTGCTCGTGCAGGCCATACCACCTGGGAGCTTGTTAGAGTGTGACACCTGTGGGCTCCGCCCAGACTTACGGAATCAGAGCGTGCATTTTAACAAGATCCCCTGGTGATTCGCACGTAAGTTCAAGCCTGTGAAGCACAGGGGAACGTGGGGAGTCCATGACTTAGCAGGTCTCCTGGTTCCTTGGCCGGGAAGTACGAAAATCAGCGCGCTTGTTCGGACAAACGAACGAGATCTTACTATGCATTAATCTATCTTGATTGCTGTTCACCACCATGTCAGCAGGCAAATTCAACCAATAAGAAGAAAGCATCATGAAGATGACACCGCGTCGGGGAAAATAAAGGAAGGTAGGTGCAGGGCAGAGGGACCATGGGTTTGCAGTCGCCCTGGGTAGTCCTGGCTTTGGTCTCTAGGAGCGCCAAGACACTCCCTCCCCTTGGTGGAACAGAAGAGGAATAAAGCAGGTTTGATTTAGAGCAATAAAGTGGCAGTGAGGAAAAAGTAAACAACATGAAGGAAGGAGCTATGGCAATAGTAACACTGGGAGCTTGATTTAGATATTTCTTAAATTTCTGAGGTTTTAAAGAAAGAGGGTGAAGAAAGAGCACAGGGCCACTATTCTAAAAACACTACTCTTTATGGGATGGGTTTCTTGAAGTGTCTTCATTTCTTCATCCAAAGGCTGTTTATTAACCTCCTGTCACGGGCAAGGTCTGCACAGAGAGCTGCGGTCATGTGCATGGCACACAGAGGGCTGGAGCATATTACCATCACCTCTCCCTGAGGGAGGTGTTGGGCTGCACTGAAGCTTTGCTGTAAAGTCACAGCAGGCTTTGGGAAATCTCATTACGAATTTTGATTCTGCCCTCTCGGGAGTTTATGGTGCGACGGAAGCATATTGGTGGGGCCAGGGCTTGGGCAGCTGCCTTCCCAGAACTGGGCCCAGCTCACTGACCTGTGATGGCACCATGGAACGGAAGAGGGCGGCGCGGCTGTGAATCAGCCACACCAGGTCGTGCTGGACACCCTCGGGGTGTGTCTAGACCCGCCCCACAGTGAGCCTTGCCGGGACAGTGTTCTGTGGGACCTTCCCCCTTCGTAAAGAGATTTTAAATGATTAGAATGAGATTAAATGATTAAAAGAGATTTTAAATGATTAAAATGACTGGGAGTCAGCCAGTGGAGCCGGAGCATCATTCATTTCATCCTGTGATTAAACTGGTTTCTGGGCTGCGCACTGGTTGCATCAGCGACGTGGTGGATGGTGGTACCTCCTGGGGGTCACTGCACGTGGGCATCGCTGCACTGGGCTAATACACATCCTATGTGGACAATTTCTAAATGCTTCATGTGGACTCAGTTCTCACCTACTCTTCTTGTGTCTGTCCACGGGCTTCAAATGGTTGGTGACATGCACAGTGATGTTTCTGGGGCACCTTTCCCCCCACCCCCCAGCTCTCAGGGAGGAGGTGGTAGAGGTCTTGGCCTCCTGGGTCCCAGACACCTGTGTTTCCGCACAGTAGGTTCCAGAACTCCCCAAGTCTGTGTCAAGCCTGGGCCCTGGTGGAGGCAAGGAGCTCCAAAGGCACCCGCAGGCGAGCAGCACGGGCGCGGGTCCCTCCTGACAGCGCCCGGTGAGGCCCTTCCAGGAGGGCTCCTCCAAGGAGCCGGGCTGGGACTGACACTGTGTTTGTTTATCTAAGACATTTTCACAGCATATTCTCCTTAAGCTTGACAGCTTGTTTACAGTGCGATTCTGCTGGAGGGCAGTTTCCAAGTGCTGTCAGCTTCTGAATTACGGCTCTTGCTAGGGCCGCTCAGTACAGCACTTATCTGGGAAGGAGTTAGTCTAGATTCGATAACCTGCTGCCGAGCTATGGCCGTGCGTTTTTCACACCCAAGGGGAGAAGCGCTTTCTTTCCCTCCAGCTGCTAGGCATTTTACAGGGAGCCGGGGGCAGTGCAGGATGTGGTGGAACACAGCAGTCAGAGGAAGAAAACCCGTCCTCTGCCAGATGCTCTGATGGATGTTCCCGAAGTCATCCCATCTCATCCTCACAATAGCACATTGGCCCAGGGGTTAGCAGTTGTTTCCCCAAGTTTTTGCATTAGGAGAAAGATGCTCAGAAAGGTTAGGGACCTGTTTGAAGTTACACAGCTATCAGGATGCTAAACCTTGGGTTTAAACACAGAGCCTTTGGATTCTGAAGGGATGTGCTTTTTACCATGCAGCACTGCCTTTTGGAAGCATTTCTGGAATGACGTATGTTATCAGTCTCCTGAAAGAGCCACTCTGAGGACCTTTCCCTCCCAAATTTTCCTTTCACCTGGGATGAGAGATGAAATAGGATCACATCCTAGGTAATCTCTTTTTCTCTTTCCC